ACGGCCGGCTCGGAGGTGGTTAATTCAAGCCGACCTGTGACACTGAAGCTGTCACAGGCTCTTTTGATCAGGAAGTCAGCGAACACATACCGCCGATCGCTGAAAATTATTGTTATGTGGAACAAAATACAGATTTTAATTAGAGGTGGAATAAGGGACAGTTAGATGAGCTGGGCAATCTCCCCACTTTTATAAAAAGGAACTGTATAGACACATTCAGGCTGAATCAGGTGTTAATGTCTTCTTCTTGGCCAAAGCAGACTACATGGTACCAAGGACAGTGCCCTGCCCTTGAAGTGGATCCTTAAAGGAGAACTATGAGGCGAGTGCTTTTCACTCATCCTCATAGTTCTAGCCGACCTGTGGCAATGAAACTGTCACAAGTCGGCTCAGTAGATCGGGAAGTGAGCAAACATACCGGCGTTCGCTCACTTCTCGATCCTGTCACGGCAGAGAGCCGTGACAGGGGAGGGACTGGATTCCCCCCTCCCCTCTCCGATCCTCCAGCGCTGACTGGCGGAACGGACGTGGAGGGGGCGGGTACAGCTGGCTCTGCCTCTAGATAGATCACTATCTAGATCACTATCAGCTGGGTGGATCCAGACAGAATTGTCAGGATCCGTTCCGGCTGCGGCGTCTAGTTTGTGTACTCCAGTTACCCTTATGAGAACTATGGGGAAAAGCCCTGACCCCGTAGTTCTCCTTTAAGGTATATCTAAGGCCAAAACGTTTCCTTTAATGTTGATAAAGTAGGTGATACTTAAACCTCTTGTAGAGTTGTTTTTTTGCCATCTATGTCACATTGAGGAGGTTTTTACTGCCTGTCTGGGAGACACAATAGAAAGTGAGAGGAAACCTCTCCACACTGAGGTAAAATCACCTCTCTGGCAGTGCTTATGGTAACCCTCTATTCCTGTTATGCTGACAACTGTATACTTTTGAATTACCCATCTCTTTATGTCCCAGTGACAATAAGGTCATTTATATAGGGTAAATCTGCCCAGCAGGGATAAAGACAGCAAAGACATTTCCATACTCTATCATATCGCTAACTGGAAAGTCTGACCATTTCCTTAATAACAAAATGAAATAAAGCAAAATAAAATGGCTAACAAAAAAATAAAGAGCAAATATATATTCAAAGAAATTAGGCTGCCTCAGTAACAAATCTTTATTGATGTAATGAAAAGAGCAAAGAATAATGATATTTCTTCAAAAAATGTTCAAAACAATTCTTTAAAACAATTTTTAACCAGGCAGTCAGCAAAGTCACCGTAGGCTTAACTATTCCTTGTTATAAACATTTGTATCTGCTGCTGTGCCATCAGAGCACAACCCAATTATTATGGTCTACTGGAAATTATACAACTGCCAGAAATGCAAACTCAGACCTTGAAAACATTACCAGGTTCATAATGCTGCCAGTCTAATTAAGGTTATATTTGCCAGGAGTTTTAAGTACTTTTTAAAAAGTCTACTCATGAATCATTAACTACGTAAAGGCTTCCTTCAAATATAGAGCTGAAGTAATAAATCAAGTATATGGCCTCCTATGAATGAAGTTTATATTGCATCTATATGTAAAAAATATGCATTCATTAAAAAAAAAAAAAAGAAGCAAAAAGCGCAACCACTGCAAAAAAAGAGTAATTAAATATGGTTGCCCCAAAATATAATACATTCAATCTATACATAGGTACAAGGTTAAAACACACACACACAGATAAGATTTATATATATATATAAAATCTCAAGCTGATCTTGTTTACATTTAAATAAAATAATTTCTCTCAGTAGAGGTTTCCAGTAAACATTAAGACTACTGCTGCGGTATAGAAAAGGACTATGAAACAGCACAAATAAGTTTGAGTTTTTTCAAGTGCACAGCGATCAAATACACAACACCCTGAATATTGATAGGTCACCGCTCCCTTCCTCCTTGTGCACCGATGTATGCTTGCCAAGTTCTGACTGGTATGGCCTTGGTTGTATGTTGGCATCCTATGGCAGACATCTCCTTCTCTTGGCCGGATCCGTGCAGTAAATCCGTACTGACTTAATTGGGGCTTGCCTACCTCTGTCTCCCTGCTCGGGGATGTACCCTATAGAAGTCAATGGCAATTTACTCCGCAGACGTGGTGCGCACGAGGAGGGAAGGATCGGTGAGGTCTGCTTTAAGGGGCCTACACGATAAGTGCACTGTATTTAAAGTATTTTCATTCCTGTATTGTCCAGAAGAGGGCACATTCTGCAAAAACAGAACTAGCAATATGTGGCCTTATCATCTATATTCTATAAGGTCCCATTCACCATTGTCTTCTGCATGAAAAAGTGCAATTTAAGTATCCCTTTCCTTCCTACATAGCTAGTTTACATTAGCAGGTTTGCATGCTTGAAAAAAGAAAATAAAGTATAATTTTTGTACATCTACCGGCATTAAGGGCAGGTTCACATCAGCCCACTGTGGTATCGTATGGTAAAGCACCATAAATGGGAATTTCGCAGGAAGAATGGCTCTACAAATTATTTATAAATATACCCATTCATCAGGTTAGCCATTGGGTTTTAAAAGCAACATTTAGCATAATACAAATGCTAGAACTGCATGAGTGAAGATATCTACTCTGGCAAGAGTTGCTTGAGCTAAAGGTTGTCCAGGTACCCATTTGAGAAAGTGGGGGTGTCCCTTCATAAGGAAGTGCGCTCATGAGCAGTATCGATCCCCAGAGGGAGGCAGCCCAGGTTGTCCATGGACCCCATGGAAATGGTGGCAAATTCAAATTATGGGGAGAACTCTGAACCCCTCTTCCCACTGGAATCCCAAATTTAAAGCTGAGAGGGGGAAGAGGCAAACTGGGTACCGGATAAGGAACAAGTTCTCACTTACTACCCTCAGAGCAGCAGCTGACTCAGCAGCATTGATCACTTAAAGGGGACATGCCCAATCCAGTCCTTGCCCTCCCAGTGGGCATAACTCCCAAAGTAGGTTTTTAGAAACAGGGCAGGGTCCAGTCTGCCAAGGCTAAGCCAAGGAGAAAAATTATCCAGATAGCTGCTGTTAGGTCCTGCTGTGAGCCACATTAGGGAAAACTAGCTAGAAAACATTTCAGAAGAAACAGCAGAAAATTATGTACTTATCTTGGAGCAGAGAGGCATTCATAACCTAAGGACACTAGCTAAAGCTGAGGCAGACTGGGAGTGGAAGGGGTTATACGGGGCAGTACTTCAGCTTCAATTGATTTGCCACTGTCCAATCACCTGAAGGTAGTTGCATAACTCACCTGTTGAAGAATTAGGCCCATGTGTCTTTTGATATACAATCAAGAAATAACGTTTTGCCAAAAGGTAGCCATGACCGTAATCTCTCTATGTCCATGTCTGCAAGGCCAGGGCTGTAAGTACGCTAAAGAAGCAGTGGCCCCTAAGTGCCTGTGATGTCACTGCATGCCGTAGGACTTCAAGTCCCAGGTGCCCTTGTGCCATTTCCAAGAGGAAATTTCCTCCTTATCTTTAAGCAGACCTTGCATTAAACAGCATGGTCCACTTAATATGTCAGAGACCCCTAAAGTTTGTAAATATACTTACTTTAGCTAACCACACCGTCCACCGTCCGTCCATTATTAACTTTACTATTGGGCGCTGTGTGGAAATATCAGGGATCTAAGCAGACCCCTGATATTTCCCTTTTAAAATAGAAAAAGAGATTGAGGACACAGTCCTCAATCTGTTTTTCTACAGTCCCTGTTATAAATGAACAGGAAGCCTCCATACTGAGTGCTTCTGTTCATTCATAACTTGTGGAGATAGTATGAGATAGTATGGGGAGATTTCGGTCTATTTTGACAGCTGACCATGGGGAACAAAAGTAGCCACCCTCCAGAAGGAAGGACAGTGTCAGCACCAATTTTGAAGATCTACAGCTGAGTGATACACAAATATTGTTAATAGTTAAGGTACTTGAATGTATTTTTAAGATTTAACTCCTGAGTTTAGTGTCATTATTTATTATTTTAGCAGTAGGAAGCAAACACAATCCCTAGTGTGGATGACAAAAAGACATTCCAGATGCTGTATGCAGGCACAATGTCTTGAAGGCCCAAAGCAGAAGCATGAACTATGAGCCTCAGAGAACACAAATAGGCACGATCAATAGGTATTTCTTATGCACTTACAAACATCAATAGAAAAAAAAATTCACAACTAAATTTACAAGACAAAAAGGGTATTTGGGTTTACATACACTTTAAAGATATTTAGAGCTGCAGCTAACGATTATTTTCAAAATCGATTAGTAATCTTACTTCTCAATTAATGCTTTCTGGAATATGCAACAGACTGACTTAGGAAACGCTAAGTTACAGCATGGAGGGTTCATCTGAATTGCTGATATATTTGCCTTTTAGTATCAGAGACCTGCAAGGAATGCAGTATGACAATGCAGGTGTATGGCAGGATAAGTGGAAAGGGCGGCTGCTTATCTACTAACCATCTGCTGTCTGGCCCCTGGATACTGACCGTAATGGCTGGTTTAAAAAAGTTGTTTTTGCTTTTATTTTTCTTCATGAGAGCAGTGTACTTTTACTTCTCCCTTGCTGTGCATATGGATTAGTCAACATGTATATTTCCCATGGCAAGGTAACATAAAAAGACCTAAACATTTTCCTCTGCTTATATCTCTATACAAGAAAATGGCAACAATAATATTGTATAATTTATGTTTTTAAAGAAGAAAAGTAGGTTTCCTATGTAGCCAAATGTATGGACATCAAGGTCTATCCTTTCAAGTGGCAGATAAACTTAAAAGCTAAAACACATACATACACACACTTGTAATGGTTATGATAAGTGAGAAGAATGATCCAGTTCATGACTTTGTCAAGTCAACAAAGAGCTTGCTTTACTTTTAGCCAAAAAAATCAAGAGTTTTCTCCAAATCTAACAGGATATCTTATGTGTAGCACAGAACATCACATTTTACAGCCAGACAATTGCGGGTAAAGGATGTAGAGAAATGGGGCAAACTCATCTCGCAACAACACAACACGGACGGCTGATCAGCTAAAGAGGCTTAAACTTAGGAGGCCGTTGAGCCATCTGGAAAGGGATCAGTGCTGCCCACCCCCTCTCAGCTCACTGGTTGCACAGGGACCTGTGCCAAAGGTTTATACACTGCGTGTAGGTCACACAATGTAGAAACTTCATAATTTACATTACAAATCTCAGTATAATGAATACAATAATAAAGTTAACTTTTTTTTCCCAATAGACATGTTTGCCTGGATAGGGAGATAGATAGATAGATAGATAGATAGATAGATAGATAGATAGATAGATAGATAGATAGATAGATAGATAGATAGATAGATAGATATTCACACAAGAGTTTCCCAGTTCTGGTCCTCCAGAACTACAAATGCCATGTGCTTGATTGTTTTCTTTTCATTTGAAAAAAAAAAGCTAATAGAGAACCATAGGGGCGACCGTTTTTATGTTCTCCTTCTGAAAATAATAGCTGCCTTGCAGTAATGCTGACCTCGTGGGCTCAATACTTTTAAATCACCAACCTGGAACATGTATGATAAAGACTTGCAACTTTTTCCTAACTCTCCTATCAGCATATGTCTTCTGGGTCAAAGCAATTATATACAGTAGTTGTGGACTAAATTTACCCCTATATGTCCATCTCTCCCTCTAGATCATTTATATTTTTTCTTTTACCTTGATACTATAGTGAGGAACTACTTTTATTGCTCCCAGTGACATCACCTGCTGGGAGGTCAGTTCCTATTAACATAAACACCCCCCCCCCGAACTACAATTCCAGAGAGCCCTTTCCCTCCACATAGTGTGTGGGCAAGATCTTGGAAGTCAAAGCAGCAGCATTGCTTTGCTGGGAAAGTAATCAATGAATGAATGTGGAGAGACAGAAAAATGGATGGGGGGGGGTGCGGAGTTCGGCAGGCAGGGGTGACCAAGCCCTGTGTAACATAAGTTTGCAGCACGTTGAATTTCTAAGAGATAAACAGTGATTTTACTGTACTTGCTGTGTATTTAATGACATAAAACATGAGGAAATGTACATGTACTACAGCAGGGGCGCTCACAATTTTTCATCTGGAGAGCTACTTTTCAAATGACGTGCTCTATGAGATCTACCAGTGAAAAAACACCTGCAGTCAGGGGTGGGAGGGGGCGTGGCGGTGCATTGGAGTCAATGGTTAATGCCTGCGTTCCAGTCCAGTGCGATCTGCAAAAATGCTGCAAGCACTATTTTTGCAGATTGCACTGGACTGGCTGTGGTGCCATTGACTTCAATGCACCACCACGCCCCCTCCTGCCCCTGAATGCAGGTGTTTTTTCGCTGGTAGATCTCATGGCATGTGTTCCAGTGCGTTCTAGAGGCTGAAGACTTTGTGGTGTGAACCAGCCCTCTCTCTTGGCTGTCTCTTTTCTCTCTCCCCTGTTTCTATCTGCTGTCTCTTCTCTCACTTTCTCTGCTGTCTCTCTCTGCTATCGCTTCTCTCACTTTCTCTGCTGTCTCTTCTCTCTCTGCGGTCTCTTACCACTAATGCAGCAGCTTCCCAGGTGGTCCCTCGCGCGCCGGCATCCTGTCCTCCCGCGGTGCTCGTGTGGCCGAAGTTGCATACCGGGAGAGGTGTCTCGCCCCTTCCCGTCTGCGACGTCTGACACATTCAGCCGGCAGCCGCACGAGCACCACGGGAGGATAGGACACAGGTCAGTGAGCCGATCGCGATCTACCAGTGTTGGCTTTGCGATCGACTGGTAGATCGCGATAGACGTAATTGGCCCCCCTGAACTAGACCGTTATCAGACAAGTCGCATCTCTAAATCGTGACACCTACCCTGGTTTACGAAGGGAGAAGAACACCCAACCACTAAATTATATGTAAACCCAATCATAATACATTTAGTTTACTTAAAAGAGAACTATGGGGTTAGTGTTTTTCACCATAGTTCTCTTCAGGGTCACAGGAGGACATATACTAACCTCCTCCTGTGACCCAAAGCTCAGTATATAGCGGGCTATTGCCTGTGATATACTGAGAGCACCGCAGCCGGGACGGATCACGACAATACTGTCGAGATCCACCCAGATGTGTGAATGACAGCCGGCTCTGCCTCTCTAGAGCTGTGCCCACCCCTTCCCCCGTTCGTTCCCCCACTCAGCGCTGGAGGATCGGAGAGGGGGGAATGCGTGCGGGAAAACTGTCCGTCACCGCTCACTGCAGGGAGACGATCGGGAAGTGAGCAGATCGGCGGCATGTTTCTGCTCACTTCCCAATCGATAAAGCCGACCTTTGACAGCTTCTTTGTAGCTTCCATTGGAAGGTAGTCACGTGTTAGGTTAGAAAACAAGACTAGAGCATTGTCGCACTAAAACAGAAAGTGCACAAACAAATGATGCTCATGGCAGAATCACCAGCTGTTATTTTAATGAAAGCTGAATATTCCAAAAAAGAGAAAATGACTATTTAAATGACATTAACATGTTAAAGCTTCTATGAGTTTTTAGTGATGGAGTTTAATCATGTGTCGCGAGTATATTTCTATTGCATACATTGTAACTTTATATATGGAGATTCCTTTTGTTATTTGTTGTACTTTTCTACTCATAATAAGTATCCCGACTTCTTCATTAGGTTGATGCAAGCCTTTGCAACCCTATGATAAATTCATAGAACAGCAATGGCATATGGACAAATGACCACTGAGGCTTGTTGACACTGGCATGCAGGCTGGTACTGAAATGATAAAGTGTCCTTTTATTACTATTCAAAATGGGCACCACAGTAGCAAAAGTTAAACTGGATATCTGTAATTCCATAAAAGGGGAAATTATTAAAGGTTTCAAATACTCACTTTTAAAGACATTCTTAAAAAAAGACTAACCGAATCAGGTACCAGCCTTCCTTTTGCTGTTGCTTTGGCCTTAAAGCCAAAGCCCAGTCCTTGACAGTCGATCATGTGACTTAGCAGTGCAGCAATCTGATGCCTCAAGCTAGCATAAAAGGTTTGTAAGTGTTTATGGCTTTCTTCAGAATAAACTGATCAGGTTGATCCGATGAAACTTATCATTACATCTAAAAATCAACTTTAAAATGATCAGAAAGAAAAGTAGTGGCTGCTACATTGTGCATGATCAGAACAAAACCATAAAATGCATGCTCCAGCAATACAGTGGGGGGAATTTATGAAAACTGGAGCAGACAAAAACTGGAGCAGATGTAAATGGCAACCAATCAGCTTCTCTCTTCAGTTTGTTCAGTTAAGATTTGAAAATGAAAGAGAAGCTGATTGGTTGCCATGCACAGCTGCTCCAGTTTTGATAAATTCCCCTCATGGTGTGTTAGAACATATCCGAAATTATCCTGGATGCATATAGGCTTTTGTCAGAATGTACTCATGTATAAAGAGTTTCCTGTATTCACTATCAGTAGATGGCGGTCACCAGCACACCAAAAGTATTGTAATCCAAAGTGCTTGTTTATTCAAAACGCCATGTCATCAGAACTAGCGCTTTTTCGGGGCCGCGCAGGGTCCCATTAATCAGGCTCAGCAATGGCCGTCAATCGTCATTGCTGAGCCTGATAAAGGGGACCCTGCGCATCCCCAACAATTTGTACATTAACCTATACAGTTGCAAATGCATGAGGGATGGTATAATGCTTAGGTCACAATAAAATAAATGTACTTACCGTGCACCTGTTTCCTGATATCTTTGACAGGGTCTATCCACAACTATGAAAGAAAGATACAAAACATTTTCTTATTCTTAGCACTGGAATAAACTACAGTTGTAGCTTTCGATAGTAACCCCCAGAAAGCAATGAACAGTAAAAATTAATTTTAAACAACTTGCTTATAAAAACATAATTTTCCTTCTTAAAAGTAGCAATATTGACCGTTCATCTGATATAACGTTTTCAAAACCCTAGTATACTGTAGAGAGTACGACCCCCCATCCATCTTCATCCCACTTGCAAAGTTAACAGAAGTAGTCACTAGAACAAAGCACTTGATGTTTTAAAATAGTCCAGTAAAAGCTATATTTTCACTGCGGTTGTCCTAGTCAAGACATAGATTTTACTGAACCATTTAAAACATCAAGTGCTTTTTGATGTTTTCCCACAGGATAGCTAACCATGCCTTAGGCTGTGCAAGTAGAATGAACGTTGCAGATGATGAATATCACAACTGGAGTAGCACTAGATCTGCCATGGCATTAGTAAAGGTGGCTACAGATGGGCAAATCTCTCTTAGGAAGCAATGGGAGGTAAGAGATTTGTACATAATAAACACTTCAGTCTTTTAACCAGGCTCAGCCAACAAATTAATGTGCCTCATGCTTTCAAAGTCTCATTGCTGATTGTAAAAAGGAAAGGGAATGATCAGCAAGTTGCCAAAAGGGATTTTCTAACCAAGACTGAAAATCTCTGATGCTCGGACCGACTCATCTGTTTGCCAAATGATTTGCTTTTTCGAGTCATGTTTTGCTACTTTAAAAGGAGAACTATGAGGAGTGCTTTTCACTCACCTCATAGTTCTAGCCGACCTGTGACAATGAGACTGTCATAGGTCGGCTCAGTAGATCGGGAAGTGAGGAAACACATACCGGCATTCGCTCACCTCTCGATCCTGTCACAGCTCTCTGCCGTGACAGGGGAGGGGCTGGATTCCCCCCTCCCCACTCCCACCCTCCAGGGCTGACTGGCGGAATGGTCGGGGGAGGGGCGGGTACAGCTGGCTCTGCCTCTAGATAGGCAGAGCCAGCTGTCACTCACGCAGCTGGGCGGATCCAGACATAATTGTCGGGATCCGCTGCGGCGTCTCAGTATACCGCGAGCAGCAGCTCGCGGTATACTGAGCTTAGGGTGACGGGAGGACGCTAGTTTGTGTCCTCCCGTTACCCTTTGGAGAACTATGGGGAAACAAACGCCCTAACCCCATAGTTCTTCTTTAAAGGAAAGGCTCACTTTTGGTAAACTTTCCCTTTAATAAATCCAGCCATTTGTTCTACACATTCCAAAATCAAAAGATCAACCACATCAGTGATAAGATCCCTTTAAAGGAAATTTGACTAGTGAGGCTATATTGCAATGTCCAGTCCTGCAGGGCCCAGGCCAGACTGAGGACAGTCGCACCTGAATGCTGCAATGGAGAGACAAGCTCTAGCAGCAATATAAAGAAAAGTCTTGATTGAAGAAGGAAAATCTTGAAAATTAGCACAAAAAAATGCTAGCAAAAAAAGTTGGCCTTCCACACAGCATTCTGTGAAATCCCAAAACGCACATTCACGCATTCACAGTGTGAACTAGACAAGAAAGAGATAGCCTTAAAAGCTACTGGTTAGATCTCTTCCAATATAATGTGTAACATCTAAATAGGTGTTTAGTACTAGTAGGCTGTGAGGAATAAGAATTCCTACAATGACTGACTGGAAGAGAAATACACTGTGACCTATTTGAAAGCTACAAGTTGCCGAATAGTGCAGGAATGTTAGTTTAATGCCAGATCTCTTCACAAATAATTTCTCGGCTCTACTCTGATGTGCATCTTTTAAATAACATGTGCCAAGCATCCCTTGTCTGTTAATCATAATGTTTGCTGAGTGATGCTGAGCAGAGCTAGACAGACAGAAGGGTCTCTGTGTCCGTTGGAGAAGTGCAGTCAACCGTTTGCAAGCTCATCCTGTGGAGATTAATCTGGTGAACAATGTAGTCTGAAAAGGGTGTATTGGTGGGAGCTAATCAAGGGAAAGCGGTTCTCTACAGCATCTGATAATGAATGAACAATGAAACTGCTGCTGAGAGCATCAGTGTTTACACAGGACCAAAACACAACTTGACCAGAAAACCTTGGAGTCATGACCCCATGTGGTCCAGATTTTTCTTTTACTGGACATAAACTAAGAAATTTTACTCCTAATATTCTTCTTACCTTAACAGCTGGAGAGTCCCATACGGCCAGGCAAAAGTAGTCTTCCTCCATGATGTTCAAGTGGTTGCATACTTTCTTAAAAAGGTCCTGTCCCTTGGCATGTTTCTGAAAAATGTAAAATGTGTTGGTAAACAAAAAGGACTCAATTTACAGAACTGCCTTACAAAAAAAAAAACAATTACAGAATCACAGAGAGAAGCAGTACCTGTACAGAGAGTAATACAGATGCTACAAAACCTTATTGATTTTGTCATGCTGGAACCGAAAATGACTTTTTTTCCCAACTTTTAAAATGTTTAAAATAATGTTTTCATTATTTTATTTAAATGTTTTTTTTTATATTTTCTACTTTACCGGAGCTTTGGGGAAAATAGCAGGGGTCTAAGACCCCTGATATTTCGCTTTCAAAATAGAAAAATAGATAAGGATTAAGAGATTAAGTGTGATGTAGAGCACTTCCTGTTCATTCATAACTGGGGACACATAAGCATACTATGTCCCCAGTTATTTACAAGCATAGTTCTGATCGCCAAGTGCCTGTAAGCCGCTCTCCATCCTGACTCCTCCACCTGTCACAGGAGGCCAAGCAGGGTGATGCGGGAGGAGAGCTCAGCCTCCCGTGACAGTTGACAGTTCTCTCTTCCCCGCTGGATGCCGGTCTGTGTCCCCTCGGATCCCTGCTGCCTCTGCCAACACAGACTGGCATCCAGCAGGGAGGAAAAAAGCTAGAGGTGCACCGCATTTTAGGCCATTATGGTACTATTGGCACTTTGCCCATAGTATCACTTTTGGCCGAAATGTTTTGGCGGATGACATTTTTGTGCATCCATACCGGTTACCTTCTGAAAACGCTAACTGCCTAGGTACTTCTGACTTTCAAACATAATGATTCACCTCCTAAACACACATGCTGAGGAGGATAGTCAGAGCAGATCTGTGCACTTGTTCTGGGTCAGTGATTCAGAAAGGACTGAAGCCACTGGTTTAGCATGACAGCCAAGGAGCTAGCATTTTCAGAAAGAGAGCTCAAGAATTGCACCAGCCCCATCTCTTCAGCACAGGTTTACTTTAAGACCACCCCCTTATTGGCACCAGCAAGTTGAACACCTACCAGCTTCTCACATTTTAGAGAGATTCGAATCTTGAGCTTTGCACACAATCTTTAGTGCCCTCTTCCTCTCCCAAATGGCTATCATAGAAGATATTGTTCTAGGTACACTATGTGCCACCATCATTTCGATTTGCAATTGTCATGGATTGCAAAACTGATCAATCTGGTGAAGATTTCCACTGCTTGAGTTTCCGACAATATAAAGCTAGCATGTGATTTAACTTATTAGAAACCACACAAATTTGAAATAACAGTTTAAGATGGAGTTTATATTTAAACCGATGGGCAGAAGCTAACTGGTTGCCTTAACAGGGGGTGTGAAAATTAAAAAAAAACTACTTGTCCAAGGGCTAAAGCGGGGGCCCAATCCTTGCAATTCAAAAAACGCATAGCGCAGGGCTGCACTGGACAGCAGTACGGGTTACAAAAAATACACCCTTATTGGTGGAGGGAAAGTACTGCCAAATAGTAAGTGTAGCGGGGAAGGGGGGGGCTGGGTCGGGAGACTGGGCGAGATTTAAGTGGGTAATTCAATTTTTCCAAATTACCTGGGAAAGTGAACTTACCCTTTAATGCGCATTGTGCGTGTTAGAGAGCGCTGCCACCGGCTACCATCAAATGGCACATAGTGGAATGGCGACAGCACTCAATGCACACAATGTCCTACACGTGCGTTTATTTGCATGCACATGGTGGGGGTGGCAGGGTTGGTTGACTTTAAAAAAAAATTTTTTTATATATTTTTTCTTTTTTTTTCTTTTCAAAGGAAATTACAAGCTCCTATGTGATAGTTTGAAGGTGACAGGTTCTCTTTATGGAACCTGCCTTCCAACACAGAACAGATAAACTCTTTCATACTATTCCAATCATGTATCCCAATATACTTAGCTTATGTACCAAAATCCATCTGCACAAAGGACTTATATACCACAATATTCTGTCTAAATTGCTTTTTATTAGGTACAAAGCAAGCATGCAGCAGCAAATACAAGTGCATAATTCTCCATATAGAAATGGAATGGAGAGATAGTGGAAAAATAGTGATATGGGCTGAATATTTTGATATAGAAATGCTCTCTGCAGACAACATTTGCTGCATTAGAGAATTGTTTGCCCAATTTGTGCCATTAGGCTGCTATTTTTATGCACGAAGCATCCAATTAGAGGTAGACTGGAGTGTGCTTCATTGTGTTATATGTAATACATATAGTTTAAGCAGAATATTAAGTATATACACTGGCAAACCATTGCATTGTGCTTTCTTAGGGCTAGTGTGCAAAAGCTTCAGAATCAGAATCCAGTGAAATGCAGAAAAATGGCTTGCAATAGAGATCAATTTTAGGTCAGCCTTCGATTTGTTTGAAAAGCATTTGATATGAATTCACAATAATTAGCATGAAGAAATAAAAGCTAAGCAACATCATGGAAAAAAAAAACACTGAGGGTCTGTTCACACGACGTCCGTTTTGTGTGCTGACCGGCTGCGTACGCTGCTGCACTCAAAATGCATCTCAATGTATCCCTATGTGTTTTATGGGCTACAGTTCTCACGTGCGCAGTCCGTTCAGCTTACGACAGAAAAAATACTGCATGTCACATTTTGTACGGTCCTGAAACGCACAAACGCGCATGAAACGAAAACGGAACAGAAACGCAACGCAGCTAAGGGGGAAAAAAAAGAAAACATTGTATTCTTGCTCCACTTATTATGATGTCATCAACGTTGACAACAAATTAACTGTCAGCATCCGGACCGAAAACGCATCAAAAACGCGTCAAAAACGCACTGCATCAGCAGCTCCACGTCTGCTGATCAGGACCTGATCTCATGTGAACAGGCCCTAAATGAAATTGTACACAGTTTCATAACAGCCAATTTCAAGTTCAAACTATCAAAACATTTAATTAAAAACTGAAGTTAGAGGCAATACACAAATGACAGTTGACACTACCTTATAGTATAGAGGGGCTGGACAAATCTGAAGAGCCAGATAACTGCACTTTAATTGGTCTAAAGTCTTATTAAGGGACTCAAGTCAAAAAGGGAAGCAAGTCAAATACAGAATGCTTGAGGCCCGGTTCACAGCTGGGCGATACTTGACCGCGCAGCAATCGTTCACGGTCCCCCTGCGGATTGCCGTGAGGTCACCCACCACTACCGATCGTGCTGGCGGTGCCATTATTTTCGAATGGCACCCCAGTGTCAGTTATGGAGTTTGCTGTGGCCTTAACCTCTTGCCGTCCGCCCGTAGTAGAAAAACGGACGGAAGGCACTGCTGCATTGGCGGGTTGCCGTCGCCAGACGGCATTTTTTTTCTGCTCGAAAAATTCGGTGATTTTTCCGTAATATAGTAAAAAAATAAAACCCCCAGTGGTGAATAAATACCACCAAAAGAAAGCTCTATCTGTCCACAAAAAAGGGTATAAAATTCATTTCAGTACAGCGCTGCATGACGGAATAAATGTCAGTCAAAGTACCGCAGCGCTGAATACTGAAAAATGGCCTGGATGGGAAGGGGGTTTAACACCGCGGATGTCAACTGGTTAATGATGCCACAGCGCTCTGCTTTGTGTACCAATTTGCCCTCTGTAAAATAAACAATTTTCTGCTGCTGGTAATATTGGTACCCTAGAGCTGTGGTTCTCAACTGGTGGGTCGTGACCCAAAAGTGGATCGCGACCCCATGTCCAGTGCGCCACCACATGCCTTCCACTTTTCTAGGTGAGAGGATCCTCGTCCTCCTCTTAGAGAAGCTCTGTCCGTTCTTGCACCGAGCAGCCATTCAAAAATGTGATGCCCGGTGCCGAGTGTCGACTTGAGGTGGGGCTATGGCTGCGAGTGAGCTCTATCCATACGTACATTGCTTACAGCTCATCACATTCTGGCTCCCGGCACCTCTACGGGCACACACGGGAGCTTTACAAGCAATACACATATGGATGGAGCTCCATCACAACACAGCAGCCCACACTGGACCCCAGGTTGAGGATCCACTCCAATTTCCGTAATGGCAACCCAAACGCACCTCCCACCCACAGTTCGATCGCCTGCACCGGAAAGCGCAATACCGCAACAGGCAACATTGCAGTGCAACTTGGGTCGCGACTTAATGACCGAAGACAAATGTGGGTCCCGAGGTTACACAGGTTGAGAACCACTGCCCTAGAGGATACTTTTATGTTATTTTAAAAAAGACTAGAACTGGACATCTTAAAAATGTGATATCAAGCTAAAGAACATTGTGTGATCAAAACTGATTTTCAAAGTACATACATGGAGGTGGGCTTATGTTTGTTATGCATTTTATTCAAATACTTCATTTCTTCTTAACATTATAAAATACTGCTCAATAGTTGTCACTGAACACCACCAACATATAGTTGATAAGAATAATGCTGTTTAAACTAGGGCTGCAACAACTAATCGACATAATTGATTATAATCGATTATTGAAAAAGTTGTCAACTTTTTCAATAATCGATTAATCGGCTTCCGAACTTAGGTACAGCCAAAGTCAGCATTAGAGCTTCAGTATTTTAGTATCACACAACAAAACAAGAACACAAACCTACCCAGACTAAGTGGTTCATTAACCAGTGCTAGTTCACTGAAGCATGATACACGGGTTCATAAATTTGCATTAAAAGAGCTACTCTTTGTTCCCGGATGTAACAAGAAGGCTCAAACGTGGTTCAAATCTATTGTGATCCATAGCATCCACACTTCTTCCAAAACAATCTTCTATTGTTTTGATGAAAATAAGCAGTTCTAAATTTAACAAGAACCTTATCAGCAGTTTGCCTTAAACTGTAAAGAAAAAAATAAATCTAGACTCTATCCCAAACAGTGAAAGGAAACACCTGCCTGTTCCATCTGCCTGAATGGTAGCAGCTGGATTGCCAAAGGATATTAGAGACCCACTTACATTGTATTTTTCTTTAACCTCTCCTATTTGTAAAATTAACTAAAAATCTAAAAAGTACACAAGTGGAAAATGGTGGACAAAGACCCCAAAATAAAGGTTAGTCCCCATAATTCAGACTAGTGCATAATATTAAAATAAACTGATTAGTAAATGGATGGACAGCTGCTGTCAGACTTAAAGGGATTTGCAGCCTCTGTGAGCAGGAACAAAACAAATCACTCTGACAACAGAAATGTTTAGACATGAGATGTATCTGAGCAGGATGCTGCACCTCACTCATACACACGGACAAGAGAACAATCTGATTTTCTGTCGGTAATTGCACTGTCGGAAGGAGATGTAAATGTGAGGGTGGAATGAGCCCATCACATCATAAAGAAAACAGAAAGGGTTTTAGTTGAACTTAATAAAGGTCAATGGAGTCAGATGGAAAAAAAAAACCTACAGGGAATTATGTTTATCATGTCCATCCTGTTGAAAAGAAAAAAAGAAAACCATCATGAAATTTTCCTATCAGTATCTTAACGCCCCTATTTCTACAACCAAAGAATTTACACATATCCTTAGCCAAATGTGCCATTTTGTTTAATGTTATAGGTAGGGATGTCCCGATACCGATGCTTGTCAAAATGCCCCGATACAAAGCGCCAAAGCTTGAGCTATGTTTTTGGTTTTTTTAACTTACCACGCCAAGCGTCGCGTCACTGCTGCTCCGGTGGGCGACGCTCCAGGCAATTAGGACCCCACCGGAGCAGCAGTGACGCGACGCTCCTCTCCAGCTCAGCGCCGATGACATCCTCACGTGTGAGGAAAATCGTGAGGCACCGCGATCGAAGCAACAGTGAGTAAGATGGGGCTTGGGCTTAGTTTTTTTTTGTGAACAAGAACAATCCATTGCGGCAGTGTATTCTATATGTACTGTACTGTACATGTACTACATATAGAATGCACTGCAGCAATAGATTTACAATTCTAAACGCAGCATTCCATCACATGCTTCCACAATTATGCCTCTTGATACAACATTCCTATCTTGTAACCCACGAACAGCAACCCCCTATGGATATACTGTTTTTCTCCTGCCACAGCACTACCATACTGATACTACTTTCTTCCTATGTACAACCCCTACAGGCTGTGTTCCCTTCCTGCAACCCCCCCATAGAAAGCAGTCCCCTTGTATGACCCTCAGAGACAGCATTCCCCTCTTATATCCTTCCAGTGAAAGCTCTTCCGGAACCACAGAGCAACAGTTAACTAGGAAGTGGATGTTTTAGAGAAAATAGAGTAAAACTGTCATTGGCAAAATCGGCATGGGGTGTTCTTGAATACAGATGGAGATAACTACATACAAACATATTAAAAAAATTAAAAAAACACACCTAAATACAAGAAATTAAACACAATATTTTGACCTTGCACCATTCTGGACAGTGCACACTTTGCTAGTAAATAATATCACTGTTATATTGATTAGACTTTGTTCATAATAAAATTCCAGAAGCTGTAACTCTTACCTCCAGCTCACACTCATACACAGTGTCATCAAGGAGAGAAACCTTGCAACGCATGTTGGGTGATTTCTTGGCCACTTTGTGCGCACTCTTTACTTCTGCATCAGCGTTTGCAGACTCTTGCTCCTTGTCACCTTCAACAGATTCCTCCCTGTCCTCGAAATCGGCTTCTTGGTCTTGATCGTCTTTTCTGTCTTCTTGAGCAGGCTAAAAGAACCGACCAGAAAACGTGTTAATTATAAAGTAGAGTGGGGGGGGGGGGGGGTTATTGTAAAATGAAAG